GTCGCCAGCTGTTATATCTCGTACAAGATATAATAAACAAAGTAAGTTGGTTTTCAATAATAATTTTATAATCGGATGTAGGTATGTCAAAATACAGAGACAGAGTCAGGAGTAAGCTAACCGCAATGGTGTTAGTAAACGAAGACCTTTTTTTTCTCCCTACTCTTGACTGCGGTCGTACTTTATCGGCAACCAGTCCGTCCATTATCGTGAATGGGGAAGTTGGGTTATCTCATCACAATAGAAAGGAATACTGAATAATAAAGGAAGGGATTCTGAATGACAAAGGAAGGGATGAAGGATGGGATGTTGGATGATAAAGGAAAGAATACTGAATAATAAAAAAAAATGCTGTATGAGAAAGGAAAGGATGTTGGATGATAAAAAGGAAGCTGGATGATAAACAAAGAATACTGAATTAAAGGAAAGGATTCTGAAATGACAAAACCATGAGAAAGGAAGGGATACTGGATGATAAAGAAAAAGATGCTGAATAATAAAGGAAGGGATGCTGGATGATAAACGATAGGATGTTGGATTATAAAAAAATATTGCTGGATAATAAAGGAAGGGATGCTGGATGATAAAGACAAAGGGAAATGAAAGTGACTGATGGTTCGTTCTTGAAGAATGATAAATAAAGGGATGCAACGAATATACTTAAATCAAGGGATGGCTGAAATATTCTGACATGTAAAAAAATAGGGATGTTGGATGATATAAAAGGATTGGAAGGATGATAAAACAACTGTGGAAAGAAAAGGCAATAATGGAAAGGAAATCGGGATTCAACAATAAACAGAAAGTTGTGAATGACAAACGTCCTGAAGGTACATGATATAAAAAGAAGGAATGGTTTTAATTATGTTTTTTTTTAAATGTCTGACATGATAATGAAGGAATTAATTTTCCATTGAATAATTAAAAAATTCTTAATAAAAAAACTGTTGTTTTTAAATTTTTAATAAAAATAAAGGATGCTTTATGAGGTTAAAAATCTGTGTCGATAATGTAATGAATTGATGATTAAATAAATATTGTTTAAAAATCGCTGGATGATTATGCAAGGAAGGGATGTTGCTTTGTATGATCAAGATAAAGAATTTTTTTAAAGTTTTGTGATAGTTCGTTTTCCTTAAGAATATTGTTGCTGTTGCTACAAAGACAACTCCAACGAAACGTATTGCAGCTGTTCGTAAATGTCGTAATCAATCAGAAAAAGACGTCGTTGAAATATTCTGGACATGTAACACGAAAATGGGTCTGTCGGAATATTTAAATTTTCTCTAGGATATATTTCTTTCTTGGAAGGAGCAAAGAAAACAACTGTGGATAAGAAAACATAAGAAAACAATGAGAGATGGAAAGAAATCGAAAAGAAAAAGAAAAGAAAGGACAAAAAATAAACAGAAAGTTGTTGGAGAGACGACATGATTAAATCCCCGGATATAGTCCTGAAGGTACATGACATATAAAAGAAGAAGAATGTGTTTTAATTAATGTTTTTTTTTAAATGTCTGACAACTAACACTTTTCATGTAAGCATTAATTTTCCATTGTTTTGGTGCATAATTATCAGGCGTTTTTGTAGGCGAGGTATTTCTTAATAAAAATTGCTGTTTTTTTTTTTTAATTTTTAATAAAAATATTATTTCTTTATCAGGTTATAAAAATCTGTGTCGATAATGTTGAATTGTTGTTTCTTTTTTCATAATAAATATTGTTTAAAAACGCCTGATAATTATGCACCAACACAGTATTGTTGCTTTGTATTGTCTCAGGATAGAGAGAATTTTATTACTTGTTTGTGATTGCTTTTTCTTATTTTAATTAATATTATTGTTGCTGTTGCTATTGTTTATTAATAGAAGCCTTTGGAGGTTATTGCTTGCAGCTGTCGTCGTAATGGCAGTAGTAGTAGTCGTTGTGTTGATTGTCGTTAGCAAATTCCCATAATACTCATATTTCTGTTGCTATCTATCTGTCGGAAACTGTTTTTTTTTCTGACTACCACCATCATAGTTTCTTTCTCATCACGCTGATATTTTCCGAGTAAATAATATGCGACACTCACATTTCAGAAGCGTAAATAAAACATAAGAAAACAATCGAATAATAATAAGTAAAAAGAAATGAAAGAAAAGAAAAAGAAAAGAAAGTGAATAAGCAAAATATATAGAACGTGATTGAAAGAAGGTAGACGACATGTTTATTAAATCCCCGGATATAGATGGGCGGGAAAGAGCAGGATCCGGTATACAATGGTTGCTTAGAGATCGCAGACTTCTTTTCTGTTCAAGGTTTAATGAGTAACTCAGTTGGAAAGGCAGACAAACGCCACATGCAACTGATTCGAGAAATACTGTTCATGTTTTGTAAATGTTTAAGCATTCCATTTTGAAAGGAAAGTTATTTTCTATTTTTAGAACTGTGTCTAGCATGTGGGTGTCATTCATGGCGACCAACTTGTTCAGAAATGTCTAAAACTGTCATCTATATACAACCGTCTTTTTTCTTCTTCTTCTTTAGATCAATGATTAAAAATTGATTCAAGAAAATACATCCTTTAGGTTTCAAAAAAAAATGATTTGATTGGGTTAGAAATTTAGATCATTTATAAAACAATATAAACTGTCGACCACAATAAAAATCAACTAAAAACGAAATAGACTTTCCTCAAAATAGAAAAAAAAAACACATCAGTTTTACCATCTCTGATAAATATTCTTTTGGTATAGCCAACAGCAGGTTCGTTGTAAACAACCACAAAAACGTTCTCTTTGACTGGCGATTTTAATTTGGAGAAAAAGTTAGAAGGGAAATGATATAATCGATTGATGTTTGTTACATTAATGCCCTAAAACCATCTTAAAACCCTAGCCAGGTGAGGTGTAACAAATTAAATAGGATCGTAAGAAAAAAGTTACTGCAGTCACACAATGATATTAGAGGGAACGTTTCTGAATTCTTACGCTGATAAAACTTCTATAGCCAAATTATACAAATTTAATTCGAAAAAAAAATGGCATTTTCTTATATGGGACAACCTCCTATCAACTACCTAAATGAATAGATTGATAAATTTTAGATAATCAATAGATAGAATGGATATTAAGAAACTGCCATAGATAGATAGATAGATAGATAGATAGATAGATAGAATCAAAAGATAGATAGGAACGTTATATGTGTTTACACCGATACATATTTTAAAAATTCGAGCATTAAGAAATGGTTATAAATTTGATATCTCTTTTGATCTTAGTGCAAATATCCAATGTAATTAACGAATTGTACTCTTAGCTGAGGCGATTGATTTTAACATCATCGCAGCTGTTACGTAGTTTAACATTACTTTTTTTTCTTCTATCTTTTCAGTTTCTTTAGAAAACACACTTGTATCAGATGGAACAGCAAAGTCAATAATTTGAGGCTTGCTATTTTTCTTATCTATAATAATAAGATCGGGTCTTCGTGCTTCAATACCATGATCCGTTTGGACTGAGAAATTCCATAATATCTTGTCACTGCTTTCGTCCATTGCCTCTGGCCTATGTTCATACGCCTTCTCTTTTACACTGAAGCCAAATTACGACATACTTCCAAATGGATTATTTTACCAATCCATTCATATCGGAAACACATACTTTTAATCATTTTTGATTTCAACTTATATCTTTGGTGAAAATGTTTGCTAAGATATTCTTAAAAATATATATATTTTATTTTTATTTTAATTATTTACATACAGACAGACACGGAAGTATGGTGGTGTAATGGATAGCTGCTCGGATTGAGCAAGAGGCGAGTTCAAATCCATTATATTCACATGCGAAAGATATGAATCCGCTATGGGTATTTTGTGTCTGTATATATATATATATATATATATATATATATATATATATATATATATATATATGCAAGTTGTCCATAAAGTTAGTGTGCACTTTTAAAATTATAACTTAATTTGTATTTGCGATAGAAATAATCTATAAAAAAATGTTACAAAGTTTAATATAGCTAGTTTTAAGTATAGCTAAAATAACTAATGTAATTTCAGGCATTACTGCAAATCAGTTGGCAAATGTTTTCCGTGAAATGCAAAATCGTATTACCCTTTGTATTACTAATGATGGAGGACATGTGTAAACTTAAATAAAATTTCGATAAAGCCTTTAAAATATAGATTTTACTTCTTTCTAATCTTTTTTTCAAATTATTTCTATCGCAAATACAAATAAAGTTATAATTTTTATAAAGTGCACATGAACTTTATGGACACCCTGTATATATATATATATATATATATATATATATATATATATATATATATACAAAGGACAGACCGTGTTCTATAGCCTTGGATGGGAAACTAGCCTACCACAGAAAGAAATGGGAACCTACTGCGGGAAAAAAATAATCTGCCTTGTCAGTCATGTATCGAAAGATACATGATCGCCTAAGCGTGTATCACGCATGACACATAACTAACTGACATACAGACATGAGACATCAAAGTACTATTTACTTCTTCTATTATATGATGTGTCTTTTCAAGACGTTGGCAACCATGGCTCTCCACAATTTCCTGTCTTTTTTAGCTCTTAATAAATTTTATCTTTTTGTTATCTTTCACAAAAAATTGTTCTACCATAAATTTGCAGAACCTCGCTAGATAGGTTATGTGTTGTTTTTCTTCTGTCCCGCTTGTCTTCAATCTGTCACGTGAGTATCAATTTTTCCCAGCCATCTTTCCTCATTACGTGTTCTAGATATTTAAATCGTTTTCTTCCTGATGTTTTCTCTAACAGTTATTCGGTTGGGTGGATCAGAGGAAGATAACAGCAGGCCTTTTGTCGAATTCGAAAGCCTCGTCTCTCATGTTAAAATAAGAGTCATTGGTAATCAGGCTCGCGGGCCGGTCAAAATGCCTTCGCGGACCAGATCCGGACCGCAGGTTGCCGACCCTTGCATTACACGATTTTAAACATCGAATCTTACAGCACCTGGTATTCCCAAGTGGTCACCCATCTAATTACTGACCAGTTTCGTCTTTGCTTAACTTTGGTGATTGTACGCGAACCGGTGTTTCAACGTGATAATGCTGTAAGCCAGAAAAGATTACATGTGAGTGCCCCTGTAATTAATGAAAAATAACACGTCAACAGATGCACAATATGTTTTACTTAAATGATTTTAAGAAGAGTTGAAGAGAATATGTTTTTTGAATATTTATTTATTAAGAAGCGTCAAGTTTCTTGAAACAAAATCTGAGAGTGGTATACTTTTTGGAGTAATAAATAAAGCCTTTTCAAAATATCAAATTGTTAAATCGATATTATGGAAAGGTACAAAATATCTCTGAAAAATATCAAAGAACTTTTTTTATATACAGAATTTAGAAAAATAAAACATGTTTAAAAAAGTGCCATATTTTATTTTATTTTTATTTTAAGAATTCAGATGATGACATCTCTATCAACTTTTCTTCTTTATTCGCATTTTTCATATTTTTCAGTATTTACTATTTAAGGACTTATTTTTAAAAAAAAGTGTCGATCTGAATGCGATGGAACCCAATGCATGATTGGGATCCATCAAATTAATAAAACCGGCGTGCAATTTTTGAAATTTTGGAGAATGACAGCCCCTTAAAGATTATGGTCTCTCTTGCAGAAATAACAGTTTTTATTAAAATCCATTAATTAGATAAATTTTGTATGATAGACCCATTTCTTCATTCCATCGGCATTGTATACTTATTTCCTCTTAGTCCCGTTGTGCGACACTATTTTTATTAAAACCTTCGACAATGAACAAAACGGCCGCAAACTACATGAAAACTGCCGTAGAAGCATGAACAAATCGATTATTTCCACTATGGATGGGAGTTGGGAATGCGGTTAGGGGCGGCTCCGTCAAAGAACAGAGTCGCAACTGACGAAAGTTATACTGAAAGTCATATTTTTATCAGCTCAAGGAGAGCGACATGTTACGCTTTCTAGGGCTTATATTCTCTGCTGACATGAAGTGGGAAGACTATATTTAATCCACTGCTATGTCAGCTAGAAAGAAAGTTGTGTCATAGTGTCGTGTCAGACAATCTTACTCTCCAGCGTCTATTCTACATATCTATGTCTACCATTCGTCCATACATAGAATATTACAGACACATATAGAAACGGTGCTCCTGCTGTGGCACCTTGCATTATTAGAAATATTCATAGAAATATGATTTAATTTTTTTTTTCGGGTTTACTAAACAGGTTGTTGATTTTTTTTTAAACGGAAAATAATTGAGTTGAAAATAATTCACTAAGATTGTACTTAGACGATCCTAAGGGGAGAAGAGGAAAAGAGAAAAAGGAAAGAAGGGAAGATAGAAAGAAGGGAAAGAGGTCAAGAAATGCAAAAAAGCGGTCATTAAAAAAAACACGTATCAGAAAGGTATTTAGGTCAACATCTTGGCCGATTTTCGAGAGACAATGAAAAGAAATATTATTTAGAAGGGAAAGTCATTTTGATAAGAATGTCGGTCGAAGCGCATGACCGACTCTTGCGTAGAAAGACTCATTATCAATTTGGAGTAAAGGGAAATTTTAGAACAATGGGAACGAAATCTTAATCTGGAGAAAGGGAAATATTAGAACAATAGAAACGAAATTTTTTTAATCGGAGAAAAAGTGTCTTTTGGGTTGAGGGGAGTGACCGGTGGAACTATATACAGATTCTGACCTATTAAGAATTGGAAACCCATGATAACAAAGTGGGGACATTTTCAATGTAGATAATTAAGATTTTCTGACTGTCGGGTCTGACAAAAACAAGAGGTGAAAAAACGATTGTCTTAGTTCACAGATAGCGCCAATATTCTTCCCTGAAGTCACATCTAATTAGCGGCAGGCTGTTTTGACAGAGCCCAGGTGAGAAAAAGCCAAGATTGTCATTTTTCGTACGTGCAAAAAGGGAAAAATTAGATTTTGTTTTTTTTAAAACAAGAACGATGTAAACCACGCCCAACCACAATCTCATTAGCCGAAAGCGGTCACGTGATATGCGGAAAGAAGAGAAAGGATGCTCGATCAAGAACCATTGGTCGGAAACGGTCACGTGATCTGCGGAAAAGAAGAGAAAGAAGTGCTCGATCAGGAATCATTGGTCGAGAGCGGTCACCTGACATACGAGGGACCGGGAAAGATGGGTGTACGCCTCCCCACCAAAGGCACTGTGAGGAAGTAGGGGTGAAAACAATAGCGATAATGGGGAAACAGAATTAATGCGGCTATTGGAATTATCGAGAAACCCCTGACGCCAACAGACCCACCCCGGTTTGTTGCGGCGTCAATAAAAGCAGGACCCCAGTCGACAGAAATCAGTTGAGTTGAGAGTAGCGGCTGAGTTGCAGCTGGACCGCGGGCAGGGATAGAGCCTGAACGCGGGCATCAGGGTCCGATTCACTCGCCCCTTTGCGGGCAAGAGAATCCTCAGACAAGAAATCCTTCCACCCAAGTCGAAGACAAGAGAACTTCCAGCCCAAGCAGACGAAGAAGGAGATTGCTCGAAGGACGCCGAGAGTTGTGGCAGAGTTACGGCAGAGTTCAGCCCCGGACGGCAGCGAGAAGAGATCACCTCGGACGACAGAGAGTAGCGGCTGAGTTGCGGCAAGAAATCCTTCCACCCAAGTCGAAACAAGAAATCCTTTCCACCCAAGTCGAAGACAAGAGAACTTCCAGCCCAAGTAGACGAAGAAGAAGATTACTCGAAAGCCGCAGAGAAGATCCAGCCCAAGTCGAAGACAAGAGAAGTTCTATCTAAGTCGACGAAGAAGAAGAAATACAACTCAAGTCGAAGAGAGGAATCAACTGCAAATGATCGATAGAAATTAGCCCCAGTGTCGAACTAAACCACACTCCGACATACACAATTCTAAAGAGTAGGCAATTCGAAATCTTTAGGTTGTGTGATAGAAGCTTGGTGCCATAGTCCACAGAGTGGGTCGGGAAATAAGAACAATTTTTCTTTATGTAACGGACATTAGATATAAAAAGGTTGTCACCCTTTTTTTCATCAGTAATTTTTGTCTCGTGAGTTTTTTTTTTTTTTACTTGTGTTTTGCCACCCCGTCGGACTCAACTTGTATCGGCCCCAATCCTGCTGGTCCCGTCTGTCTAAGATCTAAACACAACGTGGGTAGACAGACCGGAGATCAGTACAGTTGCTTCAGTAACCAGGTATTGGAAGCGAGTTGGGAAAGGCGAGGCTGGTGATCATCCAACCAAGGGGTTGGAGCGGCACGCTTGGAACCAGGAGGAGCGACCAGGAGGAGCGACGTCACAGTTGGCGCCGTAACCAAGGGATTCGACCCTGGGCCAGGTGTGTAACCGTCACATGTGGTGCCGTGACCAACGGATCAACCCTGAGACAACCACGTCACAAATGGTGCAGTGACCGAGGGATTTCAACCCTGAGAAGACCACGATCGACCGCCGTTGCTGAAAATTCAGACAGAACTCAGAACGACCCGGGACAAAAGGAAAAGAAAGAACAGAATCGTCTGTAAGGTAGGACACATTATTTTATTTCCCAACCTCGATTGTTGCTGCATAGACTGTCTTTCTCTGTAGACATGTCTGACTATGATTCGGATAGAGCAGTGGGGGGGTGAAGAGGAAGTAGGGCGGGGGGTTGTCAGTGGATTTAAGGAAGCTGTTGGGTGGACCGAGGGTCCCAGTATTTGATGGCAGCGGGAAGGAGTTTAAAAACTGGCTGGCAATCCTCGAGAAGAGCCGAACCATCTACGAGCTTTCGGACCAAGAAACCCTGTATTTGGCATACGATGCCACAAAGGGAAAAGCGTCTGAGTTCGTGAGGGGCTCTTGGAAAATCAACCCCGCTTGTCTTGGGAAGAAATAAAAAGACTGCTGACCAAAGAATTCGCCGACGAAGGTACGGGCCATAGAGGCCATGAGGGCCCTTTTAAAACTGACACAGCTACGGGATGAAACCCCGGGAGAATTAGGGGCCTGAGCGGGGAAGCTATCGTCGTTGGCATTCCCCGAAGTGGTCAGGGATAATGCGGTTATGCAGGCTCAACTGGCGGACCTGTATGTAGAGGCGCTGAGCGACGAGCGTGTTCGTCACGACGTATTGAAAGAAGGACCGCTCAGACTGTCGGCAGCGATAGAGCTGGCCAGGGAGAGCCAGGGGTGTGGGATAAAGTGAAGAGGTGGGAAGAAGCAGATACCAAGTCAGGAGGCTGGAAGAAGGGGGGTAGGCGGAAGAACCCCGTGGAATCAGAGGGTTAAGGAAGAGGTGGATCGGGCAGAATTATGGGAGGAGGACCCCAATAGAAGGGCATGGTCGACCAGGCATGGCTTTTATAAGCCCACGCCGGGTCGATACGGGCTGGTCTGCTGGACCTGTGGGTACGAGGACCACAGGGCGGCGGAATGTCCGACGAAGTGGGGGTTGCCCCCAGACTTCGATCGTGACAGGTGCACCAGGTGTGGTAAGAAAGGACACCTGGCCAAGTGTTGCGGGCTGAGGAAGGGTGCCCCACCAATATTAACAAAGAAGGCCGAGCCCAAGAAAAGCCAGCGGGCCACCCCAGAATTAAGAGGGAGGGTGGCCCAGTTAAAAAGGAGAGAAATAAAAACTTGGACCAGTGGGTGGGCGAACCGCTTGAATAGAGGACGGGTTCCCCCGAGGATAGACACAAGGCCAACCCAGTTAAAAAAAGGGAAAGAGCAAAATGTTGGACATGTGGTCGGGCGGGCCACTTTGCGGCAAGCTGTCCAACAAGAAGGTGCTGGTTTTGCAGGAGGCCAGGACACCTGAAAAGAAACTGTATTTTTTAGAAACGGCCATGGGAGACCAGGAGAGGTCCGGCCAATCGCCCAGGTGCAGGGGGGCGCAGAACTCCACCTCATGAGAAAAATGAAGGTGATATATTACTACTGGCGCCTATGGCTGGGTTAACCCAAGGGTGGGGACCCAGGAAGAGGAAAGCTCAGGTGTTCTCTTCACAACGCAAGAGAAAGAACTATCCTGTAGAGCAGAGATAGGTGGTAGAGAGATGAGGGAGCTTTGGACACAGGAGC